ATCTATAGTCTAGGTCTAGAGTCTAGTCTATAGTCCTAGTCTATAGTCTAGTATATAGTCTAGTTAGTCTAGTCTATAAGTCCTAGTCTATAGTCTAGTCTATAATCTAGTCTATAGTCTAGTCTATAGTCTAGTCTATAGTCTAGTCTATAGTCTAGTCTATAGTCTAGTCTATAGTCTAGTCTATAGTCTAGTCTATAGTCTAGTCTATAGTCTAGTCTATAGTCTAGTCTATAGTCTAGTCTATAGTCTAGTCTATAGTCTAGTCCATAGTCTAGTCTATAGTCTAGTCTATAGTCTAGTCTATAGTCTAGTCTATAGTCTAGTCTATAGTCCTAGTCTATAGTCTAGTCTATAGTCTAGTCTATAGTCTAGTCTATAGTCTAGTCTATAGTCTAGTCTATAGTCTAGTCTTAGCGAGTCCTAGTCAGTCTATAGTCTAGTCTTAGTCTAGTCTATAGGTCTAGTCTATAGTCTAGTCTATAGTCTAGTCTATAGTCGAGTCTAGTTATCTATAGTCTAGTCTATAGTCTAGTCTATAGTCTAGTCTATAGTCTAGTCTATAGTCTAGTCTATAGTCTAGTCTATAGTCTAGTCTATAGTCTAGTCTACTAGTCTAGTCTATAGTCTAGTCTATAGTCTAGTCTATAGTCTAGTCTATAGTCTAGTCTATAGTCTAGTCTATAGTCTAGTCTATAGTCTAGTCTATAGTCTAGTCTATAGTCTAGTCTATAGTCTAGTCTATAGTCTAGTCTATAGTCTTCTAGTCTATAGTCTGGGTCTATAGTCTAGTCTATAGTATAGTCTATAGTCTAGACTAGACGGAGAACATCATCCGTTTAGGTAATCCGAAAACTACTCGCGTGTAAACTTTATTGGATTACATAATCCATAATTATATGTGTGCGAAGTAGTCTCAATTTTTGAAGGGTATTACACAAGTTTTTTGTAATATCCCTTTTATACACAATTTTCCCACCATCTGGCAGCACTTGTTTACTGGTATCCGCTTTGGCAACTCCTTTCAACTACTGTTATTTTCATTTTTGTAGTTGTTCTCTAATCGTTTACATTAGTGCATGTGTTATTAGTGAGTTGTTTACAAAAAGTGTTATTAAATCAAATGTTATTTACATTTATTATAATAATTAAAAGCAAATAGTGTTATTTTTACAATTAAAACATTGAAATGCAGAAAATGTTGTTAAATATTCGTCAGTTTATTAAAGAAATTGCGGTATTGCAGTTTCTTGCCTGTTGCAACAAGTGATAAATTTTCTTTCTCTTTCGCACTCATATCAAGTGGATGGATAGCAAAAAAAGTGTTAAGTCATGGGCATGCAAAAACACAAAACAAGCTACAAATAAGCCGGCTGCTGTTTATAATAATTTGGCAATCGTAAGTTAAATTGTTTTAATTTTATTCTATAATTTATTGATTGATTAATTTAATTATTGCTAATTTGTGGGATTAAAATGCCATTAAATTCATTTAGGTATAAATAGTGTGTATTGTCAAATTGGCTAAGACTGAATATTTATGATGTTGCAAATCCTTTGATTTAAAAGTGGTTGTTACTTAAAAAAAGTTATTGTTCTATTTAATAAGATAGGAAATAAAGTGTAGGCGGTTATGCACGATTATGTGATACCCTTTGTTTGAAATACCATTGTGTGTTGTAATGGGAATTTTTACAGTGTCTTCTAGTAGCAGTACGTCGCACAGTGGATAAGAATCGTCTTTCATCTGTCAAAAAGCTTATAACTGGCATAATAATAGCGGTAGCAATATTCGACATAAACAAGTTTTATAAGAACAAAAATCTCTCTAACAAAATTGATAAGGATCAGCTCTTAATTGATCCTACTCGTCATATAAGGTCCCCGCTTTTAGGTAGAGTTCTATAAATCGGCTTTAAAATAATCGAAGTCGACGTTTTTGTCGTAAAAATAGTCAAAGAATCCATTTTGGAAATAAAAATCGAAAAAAAGTCGGAAAGTCGAAAAAGATTTAAGAGTCGAAAAAAGTCAAAATGTGGAAAAAGTAGACTTTTTGTTGCTGTACTGTAGAACTCTACTTTTAAAGTTCTATACACCTCGACTTTTTGTCCAAAAGTTAAAACTACTATTTTTTATTAAAAATAGTTAAATTTCTTGTAGGTAAAAGTCGCAAAGTTGACTTTATAAACAAAAGTCGAAAAAGTCAAAATAAGGTAAAAATCGACAATTTGAAAATTGTAAAGTCGAAAAAACGATTTTTCGCAAATTGAAAATATGTAGTGCGATTTTCATCTATAGAAACCTATCTGCTTTTCATTAATTATTTAAAAGTCGACTTTTAAAAATGACGGAAGAAGACGACTTTTCCAAAAGTCAACTAGACTATAGACTAGACAATAGACTAGACTATAGACTAGACTATAGACTAGACTATAGACTAGACTATAGACTAGACTATAGACTAGACTATAGACTAGACTATAGACTAGACTATAGACTAGACTATAGACTAGACCTATAGACTAGACTATAGACTAGACTATAGACTACTAGACTATAGACTAGACTATAGACTAGACTATAGACTAGACTATAGACTAGACTATAGACTAGACTATAGACTAGACTATAGACTAGACTATAGACTAGACTATAGACTAGACTATAGACTAGACTATAGACTAGACTATAGACTAGACTATAGACTAGACTATAGACTAGACTATAGACTAGACTATAGACTAGACTATAGACTAGACTATAGACTAGACTATAGACTAGACTATAGACTAGACTATAGACTAGACTATAGACTAGACTATAGACTAGACTATAGACTAGACTATAGACTAGACTATAGACTAGACTATAGACTAGACTATAGACTAGACTATAGACTAGACTATAGACTAGACTATAGACTAGACTATAGACTAGACTATAGACTAGACTATAGACTAGACTATAGACTAGACTATAGACTAGACTATAGACTAGACTATAGACTAGACTATAGACTAGACTATAGACTAGACTATAGACTAGACTATAGACTAGACTATAGACTAGACTATAGACTAGACTATAGACTAGACTATAGACTAGACTATAGACTAGACTATAGACTAGACTATAGACTAGACTATAGACTAGACTATAGACTAGACTATAGACTAGACTATAGACTAGACTATAGACTAGACTATAGACTAGACTATAGACTAGACTATAGACTAGACTATAGACTAGATTATAGACTAGGCTATAGACTAGACTATAGACTAGACTATAATAAAAGTCGACTTTGTAAATAAAAGTCGAAAAAAGTCGAAAAGTCAAAAAATCGGAAAGTCGAAAAGAGTCGAAAAGTCGAAAAAAGTTGAAAAGTCGAAGAAAGTCGAAAAAAGTCGAAAAGTCGGAAAAAGTCGAAAAGTCGAAAATAGTCGAAAAGTCGAAGAGTCGAAAATTTTAAAAAAGTGGAAAAGAGGTCAAAAACTCTAAAATAGTCGGAAAAACTCGAAAAAGTAAAAAAATAGTCGAAAAAAAGTCGAAATAAAACGAAAATAGTCAAAAAGTCGTAAAAAATCAAAAAGTCGGAAAAAGTCGAAAAGTCGGAAAAAGTCGAAAAAAGTTGATAAGTCGAAAAAAGTCGAAAAAAGTCGAAAAAAGTCGGAAAAAGTCGAAAAAAGTCGAAAAGTCGGAAAAAGTCGAAAAGTCGAAAAGTCGGCCATTTATAAAATACTAAAAGTCGAAAAGTCTAAAAGTCGACTTTTAAATAAATGAAAAAGGTCGAAAAGTCGAAAAATCGACTTTTCATAAAATGAAAAAAGTCGAAAGGTCGAAAAGTCGACTTTTAACTAAATGCAAAAAGTCGAAAAGTCGACTTTTCGTTTCAACTATAGAACCCTATTAGTAAAGTGATTAAAATTATCGATTTATGTAAATCGACTTTTGATAAAAAAAAAACGGAAAAAGTCGTAAGTGAAACTTATTGTTGCAACGTACTCTATTGTACTGTATATAACAGTTTGAAAATCATTGTAATATTGCGGATAACAACCGGAAATGATATGAATAGTTATGTTAGTTTTGAAATACTGAATAAGCGATGAGTAAATGTTATACTAGTTGATTTGATATTGATCTGAATTGATATTCACAATGTGGGGAATTGAAAATAAACACTCTAATGAACAACCTAAATGTTTAGCAATTATAAATTCATGCAGATCGAAGATATACATAAATGTACTAGAATATAAACAAATAAAGTTTTTAATTGTAGGGGGGTAATATTTGGTATTAATTAAAAATCTCATTCATGGTTATTAATTTTCAAGGTAAATTATTTAAAAAAAAAACAACAATTGCAGTTTAATTTTGGTTCTTTTTTTGAAAAATAAAAATTCAGTATTACAACAATTGTTCAAGTGATTGACACATACGACAAAAGTTTTAAATTTAAACACCAAAAGAACTAAAAAAATGTTTTTCGATCTTTTGCAAGGATTATTTGATATGATTTGGGGATTATTGCCATTTGGTAAGTATTTTATTCAAAAACAAGGAAATAAAGTCAACATTAATCACATAAAAAACAAATTGCGTGTGTTTTTAGGTGGTGGAGATGACGATGATGATGGTTCTGAAGAATCCTAATTTTAATTTTACACCTCAACGATTATAGTCATGCCCGAGTAAGTTTTTATTAAACAAAAAAACTGAATAATAAAATTTCAAATATTACAAATAGTTCAACCATCATTCTAGTAACCAGTTAAATAAAATTAACAACATGTTAAACATATTCGAAATGATATTTTTATTTTTTCGAGGTCTTACGAAAATTGTCCAAGTTATTAGGGAACCACCTAGTAAGTTCTGGAAATATGTTTAATCTGTAATTGTTTTTATTAATGTTTTTCTTTAATTTCAGCCTCCGGCGATGAACCCGATTCCGATGAAGTTGAAATTATTTCCACTTGACATTGTTTTATTTTATTGTTAAATTCAATATATTTTATTAAATATTATTCATAATTTATTTTTATATAGTTTTTATTTATATAAATATATATATATTTGTTTTAAATACATTTGTTTTGTAAAATAAAATAGCTTTTTACAAAAAGTTTTGTTTATAAATTAAAAATGTTTGCAATAGTGTATAAATTTAATAATATTTCCTTTTTTGGGGGGAAAATTTATAAAATAAACATATATAAATAATAAAAAATAACTTTTAAAATAATTTATATTTCTTTTTTAATTCTTGTTTCTTCCAACCGGGTAACTCATCAAATTCCCAAAATGACATATTGAATAGGGATACAAAATCATCATGGGTTAAGTGAACCTGTAATGGGAAATAGGATATTTTAAATATAAATTTGCGTATTTTTTTCGAAAACTTATTTAAAGAATTTTTTGCTCAAATCTTAAATTTCCCGACATATCTCAATATTCCCGACATATCTGAACCATATTGAGAGACAATACCGGAAATCAGAGTACCAAAAATATACTCTTGGATATTGAGGTTAAATGTTTAAATTCTCACTTACCTCTCGTTTTAAGGGATTAATTTCTGCTGGCAGTAAATCGATTTCTTGTTGTAAAACTGATATAGGATATTTTTGATGACAATCGAAATCCTTTTGATTGTTCAACAAAGCAGGATGAACTTTGCCATTAGCATCGCCATTTGAATGTATACCATTACCATTAGTACTCGACGAAGCGGAAGTGTTGGACAAAAGTTGTCGTTTATTTTCATAAGTCACGTAATTCTGAAAGAAATTCCCATTGAATATTTTAATTTAACAAATTTCACTATTAAAATAACTTACATTCCACAACTGATGATTCCAATTCTCAAAGAAACCCTTAAAAACATTGGGTTCATCTTGCTGCCTAACCACACCTATAGCGGTTGTGGGTCTTCTAGCTATGGGTACCGTTTCCAAATAACTTTGAGCCATATTAAGGTATTTATCTTTTTCGTAAGCCGAAACATGTTTGCCCAACCAGACATACGTTATAATACCAGCATCTAGTATATAGACACATTCGGGTGATAGATCGGTTTGTTCATAGCCCAAAACTTCTTCGCTATAGAATTTGTTGCGCAAAGACCACACCAGAAATAGCTGAGTCTGAAGACGTGGTTTGTTAGGGGAGCTATTGCAGTACTGCGGTGTACTACTGCCATTTGTAGAGGGTGGTGAAATACTGCCATTTGTGCTATTTGAACTGCCATTGCTATTAGTGCAAGAACCGTTGGAGTTGTTCAAACCATTTGGTATAAGATTTTGATTCATAAAATTGGTAACAGAACGCCAAAACTCTTTGGGCTCTTTACCCTCCAGCACCAAAGAACTTTCGCCCAAGAGAGTGCCAATATTTTTGGCTACTTCTCGAGCATCACCTGTCGAAGATTGACCGCACCATACCCAAACGTGATGGGATTTAACAACATAACATTCTTTGGAAGACATGGAAGAAAGTGGATAGATTTCAACCGCTTTAGAGTTGTATGTTGAATCACCATAAATTTTCAATATTAAATGTTCATTTTCAGGGCCACCACCATTAATGCCATTATGATTATTGTTATTTTGAGAGTGTGGCATGTTTTTGTCATTCAACAAAATAATTAACTTTCCGCCAAACATTTGCAGGAAATGTGGAGTTTCATCGAATTCCATCATTTGTATAAACATGGTTTTTTGATTTGATTTTTCAAATAAAGTTTTCGCAAAATTCTCAGCTTTAGCGGCAACATCCACGGCAGCCTCTGAGCCGTTCCATTGATAAATGATTTGCTTAACGCCTACATTTTCACTGTCTAAAGGATTCATAGAGCAGCTCTGGGGAAAAGAAATTTTTATTATAATTATGAGTGGTAATAAATTGGAGATCGAACTTACCGCTACGGTATATTGTATAACATAGGACTGAAGTGTAGTAAAGAATACAGCTTTGGTTTCTGGCATTTCTATAACTTGATCCTTGGTAATGCGATAAATTTTACGCTCTCCTGAACCATCATCAATTAGCTGAGTTTCAGCAGCCATTTTGGGTCTTTGGCATAAAGTCAAGGAATCAAATTTACCCAATATAGTTGAAATAGGTTTGGCCGAGGAAGTGGTATCATTATTATCCTGCTGCCAAGAGGGAAATAATCGTTTAAACTCAATGGGTTCATGACCTTCTATAACTCTGATAACTGGTGTGCTGTAGGGATATTTTTTCTAAAAAAGAACATTTTATTTATATTATTTGCAACAAATAGTTTGCATATGCTGTACCTTCTTAACAAACGCCCTACCATTGCCCATAGCACTGGTCTTATCCGGTTGAGAGGCTTGACTACCCACCCACAACCAAACGCCTTGAGAAAAACCATCTAGCACATAAGCCGTGCTAGAGTCACTAAAATCATCTTTAGTCGGTATGACCACATCCAATTGATCCAAATGCAAACGATTATTGCGATAACAGCACTTATAAATTTTCAATTTATTGCACACTGGTTTCTCCGGAATTTGGGAATTTTGTGATACTGCCCGTTGATTCAAAGGTAAAAATGTATTCCATTCATTTTTACGATTTTCCGGCAAAGATTGTTCATAACCGTCATCGACAATGGTGATATTGTTCGCATTCGTTTGCCATTTATTGGCCAATTCTATGGCATTACGTCTTTCTACATTGCTACTAGAGCGGCCAATCCAAACATATAAATGATTAGCGGTATGTAAGAGCATAATATAATCGGCACCAAAATGTTCCCAAGAAATATTTTTCATTTCAATACAATGCATCCATTTGCGACCATAGACTTGATATAAACGATTGGGATCATTAGAATTTAAAAGAGCACCCGATTTAATGCTGCAGAGAAAGAGAAATCTGAGCAATTTGAGTTTTTTAAAAGAAAAGTTAAACTTACGTTATTCCCTTTTTGAAATACGATAGAAATCTAGCACTTTCATTATTTTGTGTTTCACGATATTCGGTGGCCACATTACCGAAATAAGAGTCCAGCTCTTGTATTTTATGAGCCACATTGGAACGTTTCTGTTCGGATACATTTTCACCCAACCAAAAGTGTATGAAACGTTCTAAGCTGATAGAAGGTTTTACTTCACGGGTCTGGAAAGATATAATAAAATAGAAATATAAATGAAGGGGATCAGAAAGTCCTGAGGGAATGACTCCCTGTCACACCTTCGTATTAACCATAAATACTTTGTTCATTTGGACTAGGGTAACAATCAAGACAACAGATCAGACTATAGTCGCAACCATACACCAAATTATAGTCGAGTCAACCGGATTAGACTAGATTATAGACTAGACTATAGACTAGACTACTATAGACTAGACTACTGTAGACTAGACTACTATAGACTAGACTACTATAGACTAAACTACTATAGACTAGACTACTATAGACTAGACTACTATAGACTAGACTACTATAGACTAGACTACTACAGACTAGACTACTATAGACTAGTCTACTATAGACTAGACTACTATTGACTAGACTACTATAGACTAGACTACCATAGATTAGACTACTATAGACTAGACTACTATAGACTAGACTACTATAGACTAGACTACTATAGACTAGACTACTATAGACCAGACTACTATAGACTAGACTACTATAGACTAGACTACTATAGACTAGACTACTATAGACTAGACTACTATAGACTAGACTACTATAGACTAGACTACTATAGACTAGACTACTATAGACTAGACTACTATAGACTAGACTACTAGACTAGACTACTAGACTAGACTACTATAGACTAGACTACTATAGACTAGACTACTATAGACTAGACTACTATAGACTAGACTACTATAGACTAGACTACTATAGACTAGACTACTATAGACTAGACTACTATAGACTAGACTACTATAGACTAGACTACTATAGACTAGACTACTATAGACTAGACTACTATAGACTAGACTACTATAGACTAGACTACTATAGACTAGACTACTATAGACTAGACTACTATAGACTAGACTACTATAGACTAGACTACTATAGACTAGACTACTATAGACTAGACTACTATAGACTAGACTACTATAGACTAGACTACTATAGACTAGACTACTATAGACTAGACTATAGACTAGACTACTATAGACTAGACTACTATAGACTAGACTACTATAGACTAGACTACTATAGACTAGACTATAGACTAGACTATAGACTAGACTATAGACTAGACTATAGACTAGACTATAGACTAGACTATAGACTAGACTATAGACTAGACTATAGACTAGACTATAGACTAGACTATAGACTAGACTATAGACTAGACTATAGACTAGACTATAGACTAGACTATAGACTAGACTATAGACTAGACTATAGACTAGACTATAGACTAGACTATAGACTAGACTATAGACTAGTCTATAGTCTAGTCTATAGTCTAGTCTATAGTCTAGACTATAGACTAGACTATAGACTAGACTATACTAGACTATAGACTAGACTATAGACTAGACTATAGACTAGACTATAGACTAGACTATAGACTAGACTATAGACTAGACTATAGACTAGACTATAGACTAGACTATAGACTAGACTAGACTACTATGACTAACTATAGACTAGACTATAGACTAGACTATAGACTAGACTATAGTACTAGACTATAGACTAGACTATAGACTAGACTATAGACTAGACTATAGACTAGACTATAGACTAGACTATAGACTAGACTATAGACTAGGACTATAGACTAGACTATAGACTAGACTATAGACTAGACTATAGACTAGACTATAGACTAGACTATAGACTAGACTATAGACTAGACATAGACCTAGACTATAGACTAGACTATAGACTAGACTATAGACTAGACTATAGACTAGACTATAGACTAGACTATAGACTAGACTATAGACTAGACTATAGACTAGGACTATAGACTAGACTATAGACCTAGACTATAGACTAGACTATAGACTAGACTATAGACTAGACTATAGGACTAGACTATAGACTAGACTATAGACTAGACTATAGACTAGACTATAGACTAGACTATAGCTAGACTATAGACTAGACTAGACTATAGACTAGACTATAGACTAGACTATAGACTAGACTATAGACTAGACTATAGACTAGACTATAGACTAGACTATAGACTAGACTATAGACTAGACTATAGACTAGACTATAGACTAGACTATAGACTAGACTATAGACTAGACTATAGACTAGACTATAGACTAGACTATAGACTAGACTATAGACTAGACTATAGACTAGACTATAGACTAGACTATAGACTAGACTATAGACTAGACTATAGACTAGACTATAGACTAGACTATAAGACTAGACTATAGACTAGACTATAGACTAGACTATAGACTAGACTATAGACTAGACTATAGACTAGACTATAGACTAGACTATAGACTAGACTATAGACTAGACTATAGACTAGACTATAGACTAGACTATAGACTAGACTATAGACTAGACTATAGACTAGACTATAGACTAGACTATAGACTAGACTATAGACTAGACTATAGACTAGACTATAGACTAGACTATAGACTAGACTAGACTATAGACTAGACTATAGACTAGACTATAGACTAGACTATAGACTAGACTATAGACTAGACTATAGACTAGACTATAGACTAGACTATAGACTAGACTATAGACTAGACTATAGACTAGACTATAGACTAGACTAGACTACTAGACTAGACTATAGACTAGACTATAGACTAGACTATAGACTAGACTATAGACTAGACTATAGACTAGACTACAGACTAGACTATAGACTAGACTATAGACTAGACTATAGACTAGACTATAGACTAGACTATAGACTAGACTATAGACTAGACTATAGACTAGACTATAGACTAGACTATAGACTAGACTATAGACTAGACTATAGACTAGACTATAGACTAGACTATAGACTAGACTATAGACTAGACTATAGACTAGACTATAGACTAGACTATAGACTAGTCTATAGACTAGACTATAGACTAGACTATAGACTAGACTATAGACTAGACTATAGACTACTATAGACTATAGACTAGACTATAGACTAGACTATAGACTAGACTATAGACTAGACTATAGACTAGACTATATTTGAAATTTTCGAAAATTTCCCATGAAAAATTACTTACGATTGTATCCTGATTTACAAATGTTCCCGTTGGACCACAAGCATATATTATATAAGCACAATCATCCAAAAATGTACCATATTGAGCTTTTGGTTCGGCCTCCAAACGATCTTCCTCAATTTTCCAAACATGAAAGCAGATGGCATTTTTTGGTATTCGTCGAAAAGATGCATCTACCTTAACATCGGCAATAGAATTTGGACGAACCTCCTAAAATGAATAGAAATTATAAAGTAAAAAGTGAATAATTGTAACAAATAATAATTAAAATTTTCTGCTATTTTCTTTTGAATTTCAAATATTTTAATCGTTGCCAAGTCATAAGATAACTACGTTAATCTATTGCGATTATCATATTAAGAGCTGGTGTGTAAACATGATTTTTTTATGTACAACCAGTTACCACTTTTACTCCATCATAATAGCTGTCAAAATGTGCATCACACTATTCTCACTTGCAAGTTGCCACAAATGTTTGTTCACATTATAATCATTCATATAAAATAATTGTTATTCAAGATCTTGATCGTGTTTAACTGTTGTTGTTTTTTTCTCTTACAATTTTTACTTTGATTAATGTTTAATTACAAATGTTTCTGCGGCAACAGTGTCACCATTATCATCATCATACTTGTATCATACTGTTTTGTTTGATAAGAAAAAAGTACACTAAAACAAAGTTTAAAATTAAAAAAATTTTAACCGGCGAAACGATATGAAACGGCGGAATTAATTGCTTGTCACTTGAAGCATGAATTTGTTGTCTTTTTCATTTGTTGTAACGATGATGAATACTATGAGAGTGTGTCCGATATCGTGTAATTGAAGAGACAATGAATAATAAAAACTTTGAAAAAAAAACTATAACAAAATAACAATAAAATGTACTCGCATTATTACGTAGCACGTTTGTAGTTACAGCTAGAAATGATCATGGTTTCAAACCTAAAACATTTTAATTTGTTTTCTTTTAAAATGAAACACGTTTAGAACTTCCAAATGTATAACACACACTGTCTGTGTGTATTTTACGACAGTGGTTCCCACTGTTTTTTAATTCACGAAATTTTTATTTAATATGCCGTTTGGTATATTTATTCCTGTATGTCCAGGATAAGAGAATAGCTCAACCAATCATCTTTTAGATAACTAATCCGATTTGTTTGTTTATGCCCCACAGTTGTCGACTACATGCACCCTAAGCCTCAAAGGTTTTGTGAAGAAAATATGTTGTGAACCTCTGTTTCAGAGTTTTACAACAAATTGTGTGATATTTACACAGAAATACATATATGTATGTAGTAGTTAATTTAGTTAGAAATTAAGTTTTAATCTAGTTAAAAGTTAGATCTAGTTCAGTTCATTAAATAAAGATCTTAAAAAAGATTTTAAATAATTTCCAAACTCTGGATATCATTCGCTCTTCTCCGATTGCTTTATTGTTATCCTAAGTATCGTCTGCTTTCCACTGTTTTATAGGGTATATTAGAGCACTCAAAACCCTGAACTAGAACTGAACTGGAACTGAACTAGAACTGAACTAGAACTGAACTGGAACTGAACTAGAACTGAACTAGAACTGAACTAGAACTGAACTAGAACTGAACTAGAACTGAACTAGAACTGAACTAGAACTGAACTAGAACTGAACTAGAACTGAACTAGAACTGAACTAGAACTGAACTAGAACTGAACTAGAACTGAACTAGAACTGAACTAGAACTGAACTAGAACTGAACTAGAACTGAACTAGAACTGAACTAGAACTGAACTAGAACTGAACTAGAACTGAACTAGAACTGAACTAGAACTGAACTAGAACTGAACTAGAACTGAACTAGAACTGAACTAGAACTGAACTAGAACTGAACTAGAACTGAACTAGAACTGAACTAGAACTGAACTAGAACTGAACTAGAACTGAACTAGAACTGAACTAGAACTGAACTAGAACTGAACTAGAACTGAACTAGAACTGAACTAGAACTGAACTAGAACTGAACTAGAACTGAACTAGAACTGAACTAGAACTGAACTAGAACTGAACTAGAACTGAACTAGAACTGAACTAGAACTGAACTAGAACTGAACTAGAACTAGAACTGAACTAGAACTGAACTAGAACTGAACTAGAACTGAACTAGAACTGAACTAGAACTGAAATAGAACTGAACTAGAACTGAACTAGAACTTAACTAGAACTGAACTAAAATTGAACTAGAACTGAACTAGAACTGAACTAGAACTGAACTAGAACTGAAATAGAACTGAACTAGAACTGAACTAGAACTGAACTAGAACTGATCTAGAACTGAACTATAGAGGTGTATGGTATGAAAACCACATCAATAACACTATTCATAATTACACCCTGTACTTTATTTGACGATACCATTTATATGAATTCTGGGAAATTTGTGTTTTGGGCTAATGATAATATAAAAATGGTTATACCGACAATGTTAATGGTTATAAATAGTGTGAATATATTTTATGGTTTTAGCTATAATAATAATGGCAAAAATATTTTAGTGGGATTCCATTTAAATTATATGGCAAGGAGTTTTTAAGGTAAAAAGAAATTAAATTGTAAATTTATATATAAAACTAAAAACATTATCAGATTTAACAAATTTAAAATGAGAGAGACAGGTATTTGACCGATATCGTATTTCGATTTTACTTTTAATGCATCGTTCTTAATGATAAACCCTATAGTCCATTTATCACAATTATCAGATTTTAAGACTAATTAAGTATTTATAGTATACTTATCAATCTAATTAAATAATTAAATGTGATTTTTATGTGATTCATTAAAGTGTATTAATTTAAATACAATATTATCAATGTATTTAATCATTAAACAAATGCACTTTTAAAGTTTTGAATACGTTTAACAGCTTGAATAATTTAATTAGATTTTATATGTAGTTTATTTTTAAACTGTTTGATTTGTAACGTTACTATTAAATTAATTTCAAATATTCTGGTTATTTGTTTAATTTTATGGGTTATAAAATAATATATAACTTCTGGAATATACAATTAATTAAAATGTCGTTAAAATGTGTTTAATTTTAAACTAGAAAAATCTTTAAAAGTCTGTTATTGAAAGTTATAAATTTTACTGCAAACAACTGATGAACCCTTGGCTTTAAACCATTATTAGGTCGATCCAAAATATCTCTTTTATAAAACCTTTTACTACAGTTAACTCATAGTTATTTTAATAAAATAAAAGCAAAATTTATAACCAGAAAAACGGCAACCGAAATCAAAACAAAACGTTTTTCAAATTTATGTATTTTTCATTGGAAAAAACTTCACCAAATTTATGCATTACTAAATGTTTATAATCACTTTAGGATTAATGCACTTATAATTATTAAATTAAATAGTTTTTTTTTTTTGGTTTAAACTGGTTAAAAATTCGTTAATTCAATTTTAATTTAAACCACAACATAATAAATTAAATATCTAAAATAAAAGCACGAAATACGTATATAAATAAAACATTAAATATACATGCAACATGCTAACAAACATGCCACACCACTTTCTAGAAGTAGTTTCAACTAAAAAATTTTAAAAAAGAAACAAAAAAGTTACAACAACAAAAAAAAATCGTATAAATAAAATGTGCAAAATATTCAATAAGTTTTCACTATCGTTTGAAAAATTTACAATGGACGTTGAAATTATAGTTATGTGTGTGTGTGTGTATGGATGCAACGCTCAAATGCAAGATCATACAAAAGAAAAACTATTGCCTAAGACTAAGTTCGTTCGGCTGATGTTTGAGTTGTATGGCTGCTTGAGATGTTGCAACTAATGCATTGTTAGATGAAATCGAACATGTGCTATTGGAAGCAGATTGTTTTGCAGTAATTGCAAAACAAGTGACCATTATAGTTATGTTACCAGATGTTTTCTAATTAATTCCCGCCATAATGTTTGAAAGAATTTTTCCTATTTAGGAAAAACTTGCAAGTGCAAACATGTGTTATGACAGAATAAACCATGATATGCATTGTAATTAGAATACCACTTGAAGTTATGTTACCGGTTGGTTTTGAAAAGGAATTTCCTTATAAGGTTTATGCAAAAGTTTCTAATTTTGGGCGAAGGTATTTTAAATGGCTAAATGTTATATTAACATTGTAATGAAAAGTGGTCAAATAAGGTATTGCATTTGCATTAGGGTAGGACCGTTTGTGTAAAGAAAAAAAATAAGGTTATGATTTTATCACCCAAATTGAATGTTTGGTTCATACTAAAATACCCGGGGCAAACGTTAAAAAGGAGCTTTTTTAAGGTTTTCCAATTCTTTCTATGTTTCACGCTCATGAAAGATATCAAAAGCCCCCTTCGAACACCTTTCTTATAATACCAATATTGCTCACCTTCTATTGACGTCACTATATAAAATTTGAGAGATCCTATAACAATTAACAGGATCTACACACTCTCGTCGCAACTTTAGTTAGAAGGGACCGTTAAAATTAAAGACCACAGTGTCCCTTATACACCGATAACTGCTGTTCTGACTAAATATTTATTCCAGGGTAATAATCCGTATTTCGATTCAATGTATTTAACTGTTTGCGAGGTCTTAACACCACGCTTGTCCTTTTCAACCTCTGAGTGGACTCAACACGTAATCAATCTTTGTTTACGACTCGATAGGATTCTGTGCAAGGTTAGCCGTTTCTTACAGATGTACTAGCGCTGTTCCAGCATGCTAGTGATCGTAATGTAATTCAGAGTCAACCTTTCGGGGGCCCCTATCAAACATTTGACTGTTAACCTCTTTTGAAGGCCAGCCACCAACTTGAATATGTCTGAAGGATCTTTTTTGCTAGAACATTTCTGAACCAAAGCCGCTCAGTCACAATTCTGAGAACCTAAAGACATATTTTACAGTCCGAATTAAGCTCTCCATTAACATTATCTGAACGAGATTAAGGTCCTCCCAATGTCTAGAATATGTAGGACACTGTCCTGCGGTTAATTGGTTTCCATGTTACACAACAAGGATCTATAGACAGCCGTACGTTAAAATTGGCTACAATTTTAGATCCCGTGAAACTTGAGGCAGTAGCAGAAATGCTTTACCTCAAAGTCTTGAATCATATATGATAAGAGTTATCTTTCCATCGAGTCTAATTGGTTTATCTATTTAGTAAAGAAACATTGCTATGCAGGGTTAAAGATGTTTGGACGTAGTCCCGTTTCAAAACTATGAACCTCTTTACTCACAAGATCATACTTTTCAAACAATCTATCACCCATTTTACTTCATACACGTCCGGCAACTCACACTAATTAGTTTGAAAATAAATGTCTGCCTGTAATGTGACTGTAACGGTTTCTGTCTGCCTTCTGCCAAGTTGAAATGTGTCACAAAACCATTTTGAAAAATTGCATGTAGATCAGATATAATAGAAACAAAAACAGAAAAAAAAATCAAACAAAACAACATTCATCTCTGTTTGAGACAACTTTGAGTTTGTTTAGCAAACAAAGTCGAAGTAGCCGAGAAAATACATAATTATGAAAATAAAAAAAAAAACAAGTAAGAAAGTTAAAGTTAGAGCGATCATTGGATGCGGTACAGATGACAGTACTTATTGCGAAGAAGTTTATCGATTAGAAGTTTAAAGTAGATTCTATACGTTGGCATATCAAGGATGTAACGATTTTTTATAATCAGATCATTTAATCCGAAGTAGACATCTGGGGACTATTTCGAATGGATCCGCCAGGTTGTTCAAAAATTATTTCTTTGGCGTCTCGAATACCAGTTATATTCCCGACAAAAGATTTACTGTAGAGACTATGGAGAGAACATTCTCTTTTATGAATGATACGATCGTAATCTATATATATTGGATCCATGAAGCATTACGAGGGGAGTGCTGATGGTCGTAATGATATACATATATGCAAATATTTTGGAAGATCTGCCATAAAGTAGCTGTCTCCTTTAAAAGTTGTAACAACGAGAGTGATCATGTAATTTACCTTTATACGTTCTGGAAGATCTATCAATGTCAATGATCTTTCCAAAGTCGATATTTCCAATATTGAGCACATAGTTGTTTACAGTACTGGTTCGAGATATATTCCTATTCGGGTAAGACAATGGGTGCGATCATAAACCTAAATAAGTGGATTATTTAATCAACTACCTTTTGATAAGAAAATTCTAAGGAACTATGTTCCGGAAGCAAAGTTCTGAACATATATCTCTGTATATGGGGTTTTCACTAACATTTTCCATCAAAAGAATCGCACAATAGAGCAATAGCGGTCTAGGTGTATATTGTTCTTATCTGAGTCTAGGACTACTACCTTAAGAAGGCTTTTTGGTGGGTCTTTACAGAGTTAAAATTAGTAATATTGATTATTTTTGCCAAAGGGTGTTCATTTCAATAACGAACTTCAGCTCGGCTTTTCCAGACAAATTTTCAATGAAAAGGAGTGTACAATAGGGTCAATGGCGGCCTAGGTGTATATTGTCTTTATCTGAGTTTATGACTACTATCAAAAGAAAGATTTTTTCACGTCTTAGTGGGTCTTTTCAGAGTCAATATTTGTAATATGAATTATTTTCGTCAGAGGATAAGACAAAGGGTCCAATCATAGACCGAAATAAGTGGATTATTAAGTCGACCAACTTCTAATTGGAAAATTGTATGTAACTAAGTCCAGGAAACTAAGTTCTGAACATTGGATGTGTTATGGATCGAGAAATCATCATATTCGGGTTAGACAAAGAGTTCAATCATAACTTGGATTATTGAGACGACTAACTTCTGATTGAAAAATTTCAAAGAACAATGTACAGGAAAGTAAGTTCTGAATAATGGACAATGTTTCCACCAACATTTTCCATGATAAGGTGCGGACAACATGCCCAATAGCGGCCAGGGAGAACTGTGGACTGAATATAAAATTCGAGATGACTTAGAGAACGGGACCTTTGAGATCCTTCAGGACTTAAATGTTTAATAATATGATTAAACATTTTATTATTAAATTTGATCACAACAAACATTAGCTTTAACACACACACTAATTACTAACGCCAGTGTAGGGTGTATTGGTAACAAATTTGAAAAAAAAAATAGATCAGTTGTCTAACAAGTACAATTATTTTTGACATTCTGTTGTCTCCATGTTTAATCACTTAATACAATGAAGAAGCTACCAACAGATTCAATACTTTCTAAAGGATTTCAAATAGTAGACAAAAAACACAAACAGTTAGAAAAATAACAATGGCTTCATAACGATCAACTAGTTTTCAAATAAACACAAAAGAAAAGAAAAATAATTACCACTGAAGTGATCTCCATGATCGGTTGCTAAATGATAATATAGATGATATTTCAGTTAAAAAAAAAATTGCACAATTTCCTTTGCAAAATGCCAGTGGGTGTTGAAAATTTAAGTTGTCACAAGTTTAGCGGTTAATTGTTGTTGTTATTGTTGGGGATGTCAATAAATTGCAGACAAATTGAGAGGTGTTGCACTGTTTTCTATTTTTGTTGTATTTTTTTTTTAAATTATTGTTTTAAGAGAAACTTTTTGTATTTTTTTTATATTCAAGTAAAAGTTGTAATTTTCTTTTTTATATATTTTTTGTTACTAAAAGGCGTTAATTAAATTTTTAAAATGTGTTATATGTTTCTAAAGAGTTTTTAGCGTTTTTTTAATTATAAATTGTTAAATTTTTATAGGAAAAATAAAAAAATGTTTTTAATGACACTGAAAATTTGTTGGCGTTTAAGTGAATTTTGAGTAGAAGTACTAAAAAAATTTAAATTTTGAAATACAATTTTATTATTATTTTTAATAGAGTTGTTTTTTGTTCAAAAGTATTGATGTTAAAAAACCCCAAAATAAAAACGGTTACTTTTTTGTATTTCAATTAAAATATTCAAACTGTTGTTTGTTAGTTATGGCAAGACGCTTTCAAAACCGTACACGTCAGGCATGTTTCAACTCTCAAATCAAACTGTTTTAACAACAACTAAAAAAGTTGTTTAATTCCAATTGTATGCAACTAACAACAACTTTTCTTCATTGCTGCCACTACATACACCACCAACAAAAACAACAACTACGACAACAGTATCTGCTATTATTTGATTAAAGCCAACACAAAACGTTGCTGTTGACTCTTTCATACATCATTTTTTTTTTCTAAGTAATAATTGTTTAAAATTTTTTTCTGTTCATAGTTTTCTTTATCTATGTGTAGTGTGAGTTTGAGTACAAAATGTTGGTTGCAACATGAATAAAATTATCAAACCATTCACGTAGTTTGCGGCGGTTGCTGTTTATTGTTTCATTTGTTTTTCCTTTGCCAGAGGAGGTTTTTTATCTTCATTTTACAGATTTTATCATTATGAAGAGTTAATAATGTATGAATTCATTAGTGTGAATGTCTTAGTTAAGATTTCTAACGAAATTTTTAATAGTTTGTATATACGAGACATCAGTTTGATGTCAAACTGGGCAATTTCCTTCCCGGCGATCTGCCGAATAACAATGATGACATTGGATCACCTTGGTCTCTTCAATAAGAGATTATGCCTTCTGATTATTATCGGATATCATAGTCAGAGAGCAAAACTATTTCTTCCAACTTCTAATTGACTTAACTTTAGCCAAAACAGTTTTCCGACAACCTAAAAAGATCGTCTACATACCGTTCTTTCAAAACCTGTCTTCCATACGCCATGGAAGACGTTCTGTGATAGTTCCATTACCTCTCTTCTATGAACTGAGATTTTTTCTCTTATGAACTGAGATATTCACTTGGATAACTTGGATATTGTAGTCTTGATGTAAGTATATTCCTAGAGGTTCTAACAGTGACTATATTTGAGACATCATATTGATGTCAAACTGGACAATCTAGGCATCTAATTCACGGCGATTCGCCGAATAAAATTGATGATTTTGCATCAACAAGGTCTCTTCAGTAGAATTGAATGTCTCTGTCTTCTGATCAGTGATCAGATATAACAGTAATATCATGCTCCTCGTCGGATAGCAGAGCTCTCACTTCAAACTACTAATGAAATTGAGATCCAAGGTCTTTTCAGTAGGATAACATAACACTGCCTTCAAACTCCTCATCAGAGATCAGAACCATCTCTTGGAACTTCTAAGTGAAGCAAATTTCCTTAAAGGAGTCTTTCGAAAACCGTAAAGACATTTCACATTCAGTTCTTTTGAAGCCTGTCTTCCATACTCCTTATCTGAACCTGACATAAAAGATAGTCAATATCAGTTCTTTTCCCTATCTTTCTCCTATGAACTGAAATTTTTTACAAGAAAATCTTGATATTCCTTTACGGCGATTCGCCGAATAAGATTGATGATTCTTGGATCCACATGGCCTTTTCAGTAGAATTGAATGCCCTTGTCTTCTGATCAGTGGTTAGATATCAGAGTAATGTCATGCTCTTCGCCAGAGAGCAGAACCATCAAGATTCCCTCAAACAGATTCAACAAGTACAACTTTCGTTTGGAATTTGTTCAGGACCCAACTTCATTATCAGAATCTAATGCCATTTCAAGGTGCCTAAATCTGTTGTAGTTTTATAATTCACAGGTTACCTGTGTCCATGCAAGACCGTTGACTGAAAGATTAGTGTTGTTCTGGTTATAGGAAAGAAACCTTTGGGAAGAGAACGTCCGTTAAAAGTCTGATCATCCGATGCCACTTTGTGGAGTGGTTATATGGCTTTGGAAATGGATCGGTACTAGCAGAGTTGGATTCTGGCGACTTTGTCGATGCAGCGAAGTCACTGGGATAAGAGTTTATATAGCTCGACATATAACTAAAGACGACCATGTGGATGAAAAAGACCACCGTATTGTTGATTCCTTTCTGAAACGAGTTCGTATCTGGTAGAAAGGAAATCAGTTGGAAGCAGGCCTCTTCCTGTTCTAGTTATTGAAAAGGAACCTTTGGGGATCATGTGGTGCCTGTGATTGTATTCAAAATCACGAGAAGATAATGTCGGTTAAAATAAGGATGCCACCGAATATGTCTGCAGGTACCGTTGCCGAATCAACAGGTGTCAAACAGCGGGAGAAGAAAGCTGTTGCCGATTGTCGACATAGCGGGGCTACTGTGACTCTTTTTATCACTTTGCACGACACTTAGGCAGACACGAGGTCCAACCTGTTACCACGGAAATCAGTTGCCCACATGACTTGACCTGTTCTGGTTACTTGAAATAAACCTTTAGCTATCACTAGTACGACTTCGGTAGAGAAATGAATTGAGTTTAGCAGAGTTGGACTTTTTCGGCTTTAATGATATTAATCAATTTTGTCGATTAGTCGGGGACATTGAGACCCTCTGCTAAGTTGTTGAATGTTAAATAAAGTCCACACAGAGGTTGAAAAAGCACAGGGCGTGCTGGCGGATAGTTGCATTCGCTAAGCTTAAACTTTGAATCACTGCAAGATCTGCTTGAAACCAGTTTAGCAGTCTTCACTAGGTTGCATTTTGGATCAGTTGAACAAAACATCCACCAGACTAGCTGACCACCAGTTTAACCAAATCGTTTAAATCAGTGCTCCGATAGAATTTTTATTGTACAGCCAACGCATCCATAAGTGTTCAATATCTAAAGACATAAAGAGGTATATTCTGTTCGGGAAATCATTTGATCCCCATGGAACAAATAGTACAAGTCCATCTATTAGAGATTTTACGAAACCTGAGTAACTCATTAACCTAGAATGCTGTAATATCATGTTATCAAAACTCACCATAAGATAACATGATCCGGCGCAATGCTGCAGAATAATGAATGAAATAACCAAGATAATATGATCACAATTTATTCAAAAAATAAATACATACTTTTATATCTCTGCAATTTTGTAACAGTGTGAAATATTAATTTAAATACAAACATGTAAAAGAAATAATGATGTATGAAAGAACACTCACTTGAATCATTTTCCAACATTGTTTAACATTTTGTAATTATTATTAACTTTTCTTTAAATCTACAAAATTTTTGTTTTTTAATGCTCTCGAGCTGTAGTAATTGTTACAGTTTTTATCAGGTTTTCTTTCTATTGTAAATAAGTTTGTAAATGCCTGATGATCTGACAGTGATTGACAGCTTGATTTTTTTGTATTAATTGATTTATGATCTTTTAATTAAAAACATGTTGAACAAAATTATTTGAAAATATTGAACATTAATGGGGGATTGTTAGTTAAAGAGAAAAAATCGGGTTAAAAGATAGACTTAGATTAGAAGATCGAGCAAGAGCATGAACTAAAGTTTGGGAAGATTGTTATCTTATAAACTAGGCACATCATTCTACTTTAATGTTTCCTCTCTAAGAGAGAGGAAGACATGATTAGCAGAATAGGTTGCTTAAATCATTGAACGTGTGATCGATTCCTTTCCGCTCAAAAAATCCCGAGCTTGTGCTAACTTTAACTTGAAATTATTATTATTTATTTTAAACATTATAATGATGTATAATTAAACTTTAAGGCTGATCCCTAACACTTAAAGATCACTTCTCTTTCACACTACCCTAAGCATTTGAGTGTTAATAAATGGAAAGTAAATATTTAGCAAAAATGAGCTATGTACAGCATAATACAAAATAATTGTACTAAGTAAATATGCATTAAATTAAAGTTTTATTTTGAAAGAAAATATTAGACAATAGAAGCAAAAAAATACATATTTACAATGAAAAATATAAACAAATAGATTTGACATTTACACAACCAGTTTAACATACATTTGAGTGCGCTTGTGTTGTTTCTATTAAATCTGGGAAAATCTGTTCAAACTTCAGGTTCGAAGTCGAAGTTGGCAAGATATTTGGCGTTAATGCAACAAGCTTAAATCATTATTATGTTTAACGTTTTCATTCATTCATTCGGTACAACTAAATTTTGAAGGCATTATTGTGGCATTTACCTGGGGTGATGATAATTGATTGTTATTTGACTTGTGGTCGGATTGGCTTTTATAAATATGTATGAATAATTGTTAATTTGAAAGAAATGAATACATTGCTTTCATTACAACTAATTTTTGTGTATTTTTTTTCGATTTTTTTTTTCATTAATTGTGATAAAGTGTGATTTTTTTGTTAACATCTTAAATTGTTTTCAAAATGAAAACAATTTATTTTAACAATGAATAAAACATAAAAGAGGAATTTTTATTTAAATATTTTGACATTGGTTGGCTAAAATTATTATCGTCTATACAAAGATTGATAAAAGTTTATGTAAGTCGATTTTTGGTAAATAATTAATTTTTGGTTTAATACAGGAAATTGAAATTTTAACATGAAGTTTTTAATGAAAATTTTAAAATCTTGAAATAAATTACTTGTGGCATAAACTTATTACACAACAAGTAGGAAAGTATAGTCGGGCATGGCCGACCATATAATACCCACACCATGAGTATATTTTAAAAATTTTTATTTTTCACAAAGAAACTTTAATGTTGAATTTCACGTTAATTCCAAAGTATTCAAGCAATTTATTGATAAAAAAACAAATTTTGTAAATCAGGCTTTATGTAGGAGTATAGGTCAAAAATGGGCCGATCCTCATTAAATTTGGGAAAAGGATATATTTTTAAATAATAGTTAATTATGTTGTGTTTCATTGCGATACAAATGGTTACAAGTCAATTTTAGACGTTTAAGAAATTTTTTGAAGGGGGGTTTGTATGGGGGCTAGGGTCAAATAAGGGCCGATCATTACGAAAATTTGCAGTGTCATTTGTACTTATATAAAACTTATTTGTGCCAATTTTTAGAGAGATGATAGTATATTTGACGTAACTATGGCATAAAAAGCCCAAATCGGGAGGTACGGTTGTATGGGGGCTAGGTGAAATAATGGACCGATTTCAACCATTTTCAATAGGCTTCGTCCTTGTGCCAAAAAACATGATTGGTCCAAATTTCATCAAATTATCTTGAAAATTGCGGCCTGTACCTT